TTGGATCAATCTTTTTGTTGTAAGTGAACATTTCTGATTGTCTGCAGCAAGTCTGCCATGACTGAGTGTCTCTTGCTTACCACAGAGGTGTTCTCATCCTTTTTTCTGCCTTCAGTACTCCTGCCCATCTGACATTTCAAGCACAATTTGTACACTGTTGCAGAGAGCCTTCAAAGGCTGAGCCATGAAGACACTTGTTTTGGGGTGCATGGTCTTCTCTCAGCAGCTTTCCCATTGCTTTCCAGGCCAGTAATCTACACTTGTATCCTACTTACAGGATGGTGAGGAACAAATCATCGTTTTCTTTGTGATCTGGATATTTGAGAGGTTTTGTAATTGTTTAATTCCCTGTTTTTCTGCTCTGGTTGTGCAGTTGTCCATGCAATGCTGTCCCTACCTATGTTCTCTTTCCTAACCATTGTCTCCAGAGTCCCCTGCCAAGAGGTATGGTTGTTGCTGGAAGCTGCTGTGATAGAAGGCAAAAGGGAAGCTCAGTAAACATGAAGAATGCTCTCAGTTTTACCTGAGGAAGGCATTCCTTAATGTGCTGCAGAAAGCCCTTGAAGGGCTAAGTGATACCTGTACAAGATTCTTCTCCCAAGTCACAGGTGACAGGACAAGAGGAAGTTGTGCCAGGGGAGGTTCAGATTGGATATTAGGAAAAAAATTTTCACTGAAAGGGTTATTAAGCATTGGAATGGGCTGCCCAGGGAAGTGGTTGAGGCACCAACCCTGAATGTATTTAAATGATGGGTTGACATAGTGCTTAGTGACATCGTTTAGTGATGGTTTTTTTATCAGAGTTAGGTTAATGGTTGGACTAGATGATCTTAAAGGTCATCACACCACACATTAATTTTCGTGACTTAATTGAATTTGCTTTTTTTCTCCATTTTTTTTTCCTTTGTCTCTGTATGTCAGAGTCTTTCAATTAATATCGTATCATATGCAGCCAGATTTCCTCTTTCATTTCCAATGGAAGTAAAGGGAGCAGATGAACCCTGTTCAGAAAGAAAAGGTGCTGGGTTTTGGGGGGAAATGATGGTTGCAGATTCGAAGTACAACCCTGGTGCTGAGTTGTTTGTGCTTCTGCTTCATCACCAGCCTTTTGCCACTGTATCATGCCAGGGTTGCTGAAGGCTACCCTTAGCTCGCATGGCTTTGCCACCTTCTGGGTTCATCCTTCCCGCTCTGCTTCTCCCATCTGTGGTGCTCATGAGGACTCATCCTTCTTTCATGGGTGTTTTCAGACACCCGTACCACACAGAGATGACTTTGATAACTTCTGCTGTGCTAGAAATACTAAGCTCTCAGTCTGAATGCTGTTGTAGAGCTGCCTCCCCTGGGAGAAAAGCAAGAAAGAAAGAAAAAAAATGGGGAAAAGTTGTTGAGCGATGTGGTAGTGTGCTGCAAACCTCCCCTCTGGCTTGGAAAGAAAAGGTTGGCTAAAGAAGACTCAGCACCAAAATTCTGCTTTTCTGCTTTCTAGTTGACCCTACAGATGATGTAAGGAGGAGGATAGCCTTGATTCAGTCAGATCTAGGTCAGAAGCACTTGAGAGACCCTAGCTTGTGTCTGAAGTCATGTAGGGCTGCGGATCCCTGCATGGAGCCCTTCCCTCAAATTAGCAGAGTATTGCAAGGCCAGGAGCAGAGGTTACTCTGTTCTCCTCCCAAGTGAAGTTAAAAAGAACATAGGAGAAAGAAAACAAAGTGCATAGCTGTTTCCTGGCTTCTGTGTTGCCTCTTTGATGGGCAGCTATTTTTGGGATCTGAGCTATGTTTTGTTCCCATTTTGAGATACCTGAAATGTTCAATTCAGACTGTCTTTGGGGAAGGCCTAGGAGAAAAAAAAGAAGAACAGATTAAGCACATTTCTAGCAAAGAGATACTGAAATAAAAACGGAACTTACACAGGAGGGGGGACTGTAACAATAACATGACCTGAAAATGGATCCCAAGCCTGGCTGCCCCATCTTGTGATGCCACCTTGATCGCAGGGGACCAAGTTCTCCAAGGAAAGGAGTATTTCTGGAGAAGAAAAATCTAACCAAAATGATTAAAAAAATTTGGTTTTCTGTGTATATAAAATATAGATCAACAAAAGGTCTGTGAGCAGAAGCTGGATGTTCCCTTATATCCTTTTTCATGTCTTGGAAATGGGAAACCAGGGATATACTCGGTTGTTGTTGGAACTTATGGTTAGGAAGGGTCCATCAGGGCTAATAAGCCTAATGTGGAAGTTTGTTTACCCTTGGCTCCCTTGTTGCCAATAAGGTTCTTCCTACAAGGTTCATGAGTGCTTAGTCCTTACTGGTTAGATTGTACGTGGCTGCTCAGAGCCGAGTTCTGTTACTCACTGAGCCCACTGTTGTGCTGAGTATTGAGAACTCAACATTCAGATAGTCAGCATTGCCCTTAATCCATCAGTATGTGCAATGAGTAAGTCAGTTCTTACAGTTCCTTGCAGACAGAACTGCCTCGAGACCCGAAGACCTCCCTGCAGTTGACCTGAAGAAGCAATGCAGTATTTCAGTATTTCTCAGCGAGGCTGGGTTTAGCTACCTGGATCCTCCTTGGGATCTCCTTTGTGCAATCTGCAGTTCCACTCAGGAACTCCTTGCTACAGTTTCTTGGGGGCAAAGCCAGAAGTGTAACTAGGTCCAGAAAGCCTGATCTGTAGAAGAAATGTTCCATTAAGAGCCAGTAAGCAGTGTAACAGAGAGGCAAACTTGGTGTCTGCAGGGGGAGGACTGCAGATTGCTGGAAACGAGAAAGGTAAGGTGAGGCAACCATCGCTGTACAGCTGCAGCATTTCTCCTACCACTGGTTCTGGCTCCTACCTGGCCTTGGTGAACCCTTGGTCTGATCCAAGAGGCAAGATTGCATCAAAACCCCCCCCAAGATGCAAAGCTAATTAGCCATATGACAGTAACAGCCCAGGTGTCCTTCTGCAAATGCAGCTTCTGGGGAGAATTGAGAGGACTTTCCCAGGGCTGTGACACCATTCCTGGACATTTGCAGCAAGGTCTGGGGGAACTGGGACAGTTTAGCTTGTCCTGGAGGTAACTGTCCAGGAGGCAGTTGGCCTCCACAGCCACCACGTGAAGGCTGCCAACCCCTGGAATATCTGACCCCAGGGTACCTGCTTATTTCTTGGCTGCAAGGTCTGTTGCAGGGGCCCCATCTTCTTGTGCTCAGGGTTTAGTACAATGGAGCCCTGTTTCATCCGAGGATGTGCTGTCAGTGCACCACCAAAAGAGGGAGGGGGAATATTGCTTTCTCTGGGAACAAAAATCACAGGCGCAAACCCCAAGTAACCTTGGTTACCACGCTTTTATTCGTGGTAAACAGAACGGTTGATAGCAGAAGTTCTTTTCTTATGTGTGTACTGAGTACGCAGTGTACCCACGGACGGAAAACAGCAGAGCCAGGGCAGTGAAGACTTTGGTAAAGCAAGAAAAAAATGTTGTAAATGTGATGTCACGGTTTTCTCATCACTCCAGTGCTCTTGGCGAGTCTCTCCTAAGGAGGTCGGCTCTTTGATACAATGGGAGGTTGTTCCTTCTCTCTTTTGTTCTTGCCCAACTTATGTCCTGTGGCGACTTGTTTTTGCAGCTCCTAGAGATGAAACATCTCTGGCTGCAGTCACGAAAATGCTAACGAGGTGTCCATGGTCGGATAGCTTTGTAAAATGGGTTTGTAGCTTAAATCCTTAATAATGTGGGATTTGGGAGATATGTTTGCCCAGTGCTTAGCCTACCCAGGAGCTAATCTCTTGGTTCTGTTGTTATAGAAATGCCCTTTGCAGCTTTCCCACCGGCCTTCGCCTCTGGAAGATCCCTCTCCTGCTGTGTGCAGAAATGCTTGCTCATCATTTACTTCCTTTTTCTGTGGAAAGTGAGACTTCCACAACTGGAGTCACTTGTGCTATATCTTAGTACTCCTCCTCAGGGATTTTCTGGATTCATCTTTTCTGGGTTATCAATATTATGTTGCCAGTCTGGAGAGGAGGAAGAGTACCTCCAGCAGAAGTCTGTTTATCTCCAGTCCCCCTTCTACGCCAGCCTGCGGAGACACAAGCCGCAGCCAAGCTTTCTCTGAAAAAATATTTTTAAGCCTTCCTCCCTCCCACTCATCTTCCCAGCCAGATCTCCAGGGACCTGCTGAACAAGACTGTTCTCACACATCTCCTGTGACTGTATGAAAGAGCTTAGCGCTGCTTTGAGAAATGCAGTTCTTTCATACATTCTTGTCTATACCCATTTTTTTCTTGCATCTTTGCCATGAAATCCCAGTTGTCAGGCCAAAGAGGAAAAGTTTGAAATCTACTTGATTTTTTTTTTTACTTGAAATAGATTTTTTTCCCCATCTTTCTGTATTTTTGAGGGCATTTGGGCATTTTCTTACAGCAGTTCTTGTGCTATTCTCATATTGTGTGGGGCTTATTTGATCATGTCCAGCTATTTAATCTGGTCTGGTCCGGTCTTTCAGCAAGTGCTACACCAGTGTAGACATCCCCACAGCTGGATTCTACCCTCGATCCCTAATCCCTCGATCCCTAAGCTGTAGCAGCAGCACAGGACACAAGGAGCTCCAGCACAGGAGCTGGACCAGGCTGGTTCATGACATGCACAAACATGCAGGGCACGTGTAGCCGTATGGACAGCCATGACCTGCTCCAAGGGTAGAAGAAGTGTTGCTGTATTGGTATGCTAACTTGTAGTACTGCAGTTTTGGCATGGTCTCCTGGTGTATAAAACCCATGGACACATACGGACAGGGCTGTACTCCCAGCATACAATTCATCCCAACTGGAGCACGTGAACAGGAAAACTTTAACTCATGTCCTGCTGTTCATTTGCTGCAGTCTGACAACTAACATCTCGGTTTCTTTCTGCAAATTCCAGCACCCTCACTGCCCACCCAACACACTCCATAAAGTCCAAATACAGCTTGGAAAAGATGGACATCTCAGGTTTTAATAGCACTGAAGGGAAGAATCACAAGAAGAAGCCGAAGAAAACACAATTTTCATGGGCACCTCAACAGTACAGAATCACTGGATACATTCAGCGTAAACAATTATTAACATAATTCACACTAATGACAAGAAAAACACAGGCACAGCACAGGGAAATGTGTAAAGCCAAAGATTCTGGGCACAGCATTTGGTGGACTATCTCCCACCTGAGGGACCCCACCCTGGAGCAGGAGAAATGTGTGAGGAGTCCTCCCACAAAGGAGGAAGGAACAGCAGAGACAACATGTGGTGAACTGATCACAACTCCCATTCACCATCCTCCTGCACTGCTTGGGGGAAGGAGGTAGAGAAATGGGGAGTGAAGGTGAGCCTGGGAAGTCGGAGGAGGTAGGGGGAAAGATTTGGTTTGATTTCTCGTTATCCTACTCTGATTTTGATTAGTAATAAACTAATTTCTCCAAGTTGAGTCCATTTTCCCTGTGATGTAATTGATGAGTGATCTCTCCCTGTCCTTATTTTGACCCACCAGCTTTTCCTTGTATTTTCTCTCCCCTGCTGAGCTGAGGAGAGGGAGTGATAGAGCAGCTTTGGTGGCCACTTGGTGTCCAGTCAGGGTGAACCCACCACACTCCTGTTCTGTTTTTGGCCATCCACAGCTTGGTGCATGCCTGGAGGTCTCCTAATGACTTTTTGAACTAAGTTTGCTCAGAACTAGGTGTGTTCTATAGCTGCAGGTATGTGTTGTAATCTGTCTTTACCTAATTTAATCCTGCTGGGGCGAGAGGAGGAGAGGCATAAAGGTTTGCTCTTTTGCTTATTGTTGTTTTTTCATAAGTGGCGTTTGCCCCAAGGCTGTTATTTTTGGAGAGTTGGTGCTCATGTTTATTGCAAAGGCTCCTAGAGCTCTGGGCACAAGCTTTGAGGTATGTAAATCTAAATAAGAAAGACATTTAAAATAGGTTACATGCTATACCCGAGCATGCACAGAGAGGAAATATGAGTAGATTGACTTCAGATACTTGAAGTAAAAAATCCCTTGTGGGAGCATCATTAAAGTTCTCAGCACCTCCAGGTAATTATAATCTGACATAAATTGTTTGGACCCCAATTCAAGGTAATTCTAGTCTGGACCACATTATGATGGATAAAGAGGAATTAATCACTGAGCTGGAAGTTGGGTTTTCCCTAGAGGCATGTGATCATGACCTGCCTGCTTAAATTTGGGCAAAGATGGGACAATTTCAGCTAACAACATGTGTGTACACACAGATACGTAAAGTGGCTCAAGAGTGTCAGAGAGGCACAGCTGAGGAACGTTAACAGCAAAACTGACTGGAAAAGAAAAGGACATGGAGAAGAAGATGGCAGTGGGAACTGAGAGTCATTTCACTTGTCACTCATTTTTGTTCACCCAGCCAAAGTGTTTCCACAAAACACAAGCAAAAACACAGTCTTTGGGAGCCTGCTGGGTCTGCAGATATAATTTCACCATCAGTGCTGTCCGTGGACAATGCGCAGGTTGGGAAGCATTGAGGAGGTGTGGAGAGTTGCACAGCAACATCCCCATTGCTCAGGGGATGGTCAGAAGACTGTTGGTCATGGAAGGTGTGTTCAAAGTTACTCAGCTGGTGGGGGTTGTTCAGAAGACAACACTGACTGCCAGCAGCTTTCCAGGCTCTGACTTTTGGGGCTGGGCTGTGGGTTGTCTGCTCAGGCTCACAGGGAGCAGACTTTTTTTTGTGTCTATCATCATTCTGAAAGACACACAAGGGAACTGAGTCAAATTATGCTTCTCTTTCCCATATCCATCCAAGAGGATGGCCCAGTATAGGGAGGCCAGAACATGGATTAGAAGAGAAGATCCAGGGAGCTGTACTTCTTAAATTGTTCTCTAGCACCACACGCAAGAGTTTAGCCTACGTCTACCACTGCAATTGCTTCCTTTAATTCAAAGTAGTCCTTGTACTTTGATCTTCAGGGAATCTTCTAACATGTCAGTATGGTTCCAGCAAGTTTGGTGTGAAATGTGTATCCCGATACATTAGCTGCATTATCTGATTTTCAGGCCCAGAAAAGGTTCAGACCTACTTGAACTTCTGTTACAAGTGAAACTTAAATTGACAAACCTGAAGAAAGCAGACTGTCTTCCCCCACCACCTTGTTGTGCAGCATCTGAAAATAACCCATGGTTCTTGTTCTTTACTATTGTCACTGGAATCCCTGTTTCAAGCATGAGTTCAGTGCAGGCATGGAGAAGTATTTTCACTGTGTATCTTTTAGTCATGGTCTTCCACCTAAGTATGAAAGTTGAGTTTGCTTTTGGTATTTTTTTGATGTTTGTGGTGCTGTGCAGCATGCGTCAGAGTTTAACAGCAGAGTTGCCTGTACTTTCTGTTCAGTGATTAGATGATTTGGCTCCAGAGCTGCTTCCTTGCCTGCTCCTTCTCTTTGTTCTAAGCCCTCAGTGCTCTGAAATATATATCTACATGTCATCCTTGATAAGAAAAACCTGGAAGATATTTTAAAGACACAGATGATAAAATACAGCATCTCCTCCTTTCCCCATTCCTCTGCCAAAGCACAGAGCCTCTCCGCAAGGAGGTCTTAGCTGGTTTACTATATATTTACATTTTAAAAATCTTGCTACCATCTGAAGCTATTGGCTCCAGTTTGGGCTTTTGGTTTTTGGGGTTTTTTGTTGGTTTTTTTTTTGTTGTTGTTGTTGTTATCCTCTCAAGAGAAAGAAACTATGTGGGTTTCCAAGTTCTTGAATAAATGTCAAATAAAACATTCCAAACAATTATTCAAGCTGGTAATAAGCAGTGAGACATCCTTCCTGTAGAGAAGCCGAACAATGGTTTCCTCTGACAGAAGCAAAATATTAGGAGCCTTCCATATGTTGGTGCTGATTTAAACGGCGGCAACATCTCTGAGTGGGATAGGAGGCCCCAGCAAGTATCTGGATATCCTGCGGGAAGAAAAGCTCTGCGGGTAACACCCAGACTCCCCCCGACATGCCATAAAGTTCTGGGAGTTTGTCCGTGTCTCCTCAACATCCTCCAGTTTTGAGAGTGTTTGCTTCCTCCCCTGGCTTTTTTAATCCTTCCCAGCACGTCCAGCCCTTCTCTGTGATTTACCCCGAACACCCCAGGGAGGCAGGTGAACCACCCTCCACCTCAAACGCCAGGATGACCTCCAGAGAGGAGCAGTGCTGGCTGAACTTGGCTGCCAGTTTGATCTGCGTCCCTGCAGCCCCAGTAAACACATCCCCTTCCCAGACCACGTTCGGTGTCTGCTGCAGCACAGTCTTCTCTTGCCCAAGGATGACAGCTTGGTAGGCTTTCGGCACCTTGATCCTGAAGCGGACCCAGCTCTGCTCTTGGAGCACCCCTGTGCGTGGCTCTAGCAACACGCACCCTCTGCTCCACAGGCTGTACACCCTGGGGAAGGGAGGCCAGCTGGGACTGGAGAAGCAGCATATGATATAGTCACAAATATGGGCAAAGTCCTTGTGGTCTTTGCTTCTACCAAAAAGGCCCACTTTGTAGACGCCTGACTCAGGGAGCGCAACACACACGCTGACTTTAGTCCTCAGGTGGGTAACCAGGACATACCTCTCCAGGGGATACTTGGTGCTGATGACTCTGTCCTTACTCAAGCTGGCGGTCACCTCGATGTCAGCGGGCGCGTGGAAGGTGATGTTGCACTTCCCTAGTTTGGTGGTGATGATGGGGGAAGAGTGGCTGGGGTTGGAGAGACCATGGCTATTGGAGCTGATCCCGCTCCCGCAGTGCATGCTCAGCCCCGAGGGGAAGAGTTCGTTCTGGTTCACGGGCCTCAAACAACGAATGAGGAAATTGGCCGTGTTCCTGAAGGTACTGCCTCCTAAATCTTTCACAAACACGGAGAGCCGGTAGTAACCCTCAAAAGGGCAGAGCACGTGGCAACTCAATTTCTCCTCCTCAGCTTGAGCAGCCAAGCATTTCTTGCTCAGAGCAGCATCTAAATCTTTATTAGCCAGCTCATACATAGCAAGCAAGGGTCGGGATGTCTGGAGAGTCAAGAGCAAAGTTCCCTGTGGAGCAACAAGCAACTCCCCTTTGTGGCTGCTCTCCTTGATGCCAAAATCTCTCATCTTTTGGTGAAGGCCCCAGAAATGAAATGGGTTTTCAGGCAGTTTCTCTCCATTGCGTGGCTCCAAACATTGGATATGATAGGAGCATACCCAGTTGTATGGGTCCTGAGAGTCAGCGTGGCGCGCGAAGATCATGAGGTCAAACAAGCCCTCAGTTGGGGGAGTCACCTTGATGGTCATGTTGTTCTCGGACACTGTCATCATCCCATGAACTGCGCTTACATCCTCTCCAGTTATGGTGCCCTGGAGCTTGGAGAGCTGGTAAGTGAACTCTGTTGGGTGGGTGCTCCCCAGCATCACTGACACCTCCCCATGGGCTGTAGAAGGGTGAAAAAAACACCTTTTACAATGCTTTGATCAGCTGTGTAACACACTCAGTTTTGCAGTGTTGACCCAAATTGTCTGCATGAGAGACAGGGAACTGTTTCTCTTTCTCTTTTTGTCTCTACCTGCTGAAGGACCTTAATAAGACCCTTCCTCACCTCTTGCTGAAAGAGAAATGATAATACCACTAGATCTGGAGATGAAGGGGACAGGTACAAATAGCTATTCTTTGGGCCCTGAGACACCTAATAACTAAATTAAAGCTGTCCCATATGGAGTAGTCCTCGCATGGCCTCTGGAGCCGGAGTCATTCCTCTAAGCTGCAGGTCTTGTACTGTGGTGTGAAACCAACAAAGTAGCTGAGAGGATCAAAATAACCCAGCCTTGCTGGTAGGAGATCCCACATCACTGACGCATTTTAGGAATGAATTTAATTTTCCCCATTATTATTATTAAAATATTTTTTCTAACTTTTGATCTTACCAAATCACAAAAATCCACAGGTTTCTGGCTTGGATTGTGTGCTAACCAAGGAGGAGGGGAGAGCAGGAGGTCCAAAGAAGAGGCGCTTTGGTATGGGTACCTGGTGGTGGTGTTGTGATTGGTGGGTAAACGTTGAGGCTCTTTCCCAGTGACTTTTTTTCCTCAGGCGGACATAAGCAATCTTCTGCTCAGGGCCACCACACACCGCCCAGTGCCTCCCCAGCAATAAACCAATCTGCTCGCCCAGGTGGAGCGCAGCAGGCAGCTTTAAAGCCAATCTGAGCCCACCTTCACACTCAGAAATGAAGCATCTCCAGGGGGAGGTCACCATGGAGGAGAAGAGTGGCAGTGGCCTTGGTTTCACCCCCACCCTCCATGCGCCATGTCTTGCTGCTTGTAAAGCCATCCCGCAGTAACAGAGAGCACTTCTCGGTGCAGCAAGCCCTCCCAAGGGATTTCCATCTGCTCCCGGGCAGAAGGGGTGGTTGGTTGATTTTGCGATGGAGACAGGGCACAGTTTCGCAAACCCTGAAGTCTTGGCCCTGAAGAAGATGGGATTGTCTAACCAGCAGACAGCAGGCTGCTTTCAGCACGTGGTGAACTACATCATCCCATGTGAAGCCACAGGTACTGGGGTAGCCTGACTAAAAAACCCTGGTTTAACAGTATTTTATATCTTTTTTTTCTCCAGGTACAGATGAAAACATGAGAAAAATGGCCACAGAGAACAAGACTTTGAGTCCTTTTGCCCTTGAAGGATCCCAGAGTGCTTCACAGAGCCTGGTATTGGCATACAGATGTACTGAGGTGTGCTTAAACCCACCATCCTCAAGGTCTGTGCAAATTAAGCCTTTTTTTCATTACCTAGGGTCCCTAAGTGCCCAAGGATGGCTTGTCTCGCGTCCAGAATGCGGCTGCTCTGCACCCTCCCACCCTCACCACGATTTTGCTGGAGAGAATGGAGTACCGAGCAATGGCACGGTGGGAGCCCACGGCTGGTATCAGCACCCGCGCTGTGCACAATGTTCATTTGTTTTGGATGCTAACACAAAATGACAAAAGATTCCAGATTCACGCTGAAAAAATTGTCCCTTGCTAATTATTAGATTATGAAATGTGTTTCATAATCTAATGAATAATGGGGGGACAAGTTTGTATTTTTTTTTTCCTGTTTGAATCTGGATTTTTTCATTGTTTGCCCCACAGTTTTTGTTGGTAGGTTGAAACAGAGATGCGAAAAGAATGAGAAGGCTGGGTTTTATTTGTGCCTTGCCTGTTAAAACTGTGACTTGGCTCACACAGTAAGTGCAAACAATTCTCTCCTGGCAAGTGTTCAGTGGAGACATTACTGATGACAGACTTTATTAACTGCAGGTTTGCTTGTTATTAAATTCTCTCTACGCTAGTTTCCGAAGCTGCTGGCCTGGCCGGCTGCATCATATTAGGATCTTTAGGAAGAAAGAAAAGAACAGAACATTGTATGCAGCGGAGCCAGCGATGATGGAGATAGGGAAGCCAGCAATGCATTTCGCTTTGGGAAGGAGACCCAAGGAGATAATTAATGGCTAGGTTTAAAACAAACATTTGTTTGTTTTATTGAGTTAATTCAAGCCATGCGCTAGAGATTCCTGGTTTCCAGGGAGGCCAGGTGAAGCTGGGGATGTGTTCCCATGTCAGCACGCTCAGTGCTGCAGGGGGTCAACGTATGTCGCATTAATTGTTTGGGGAAAAAAAACCCCACCATTAAACTACAGGCATGTTTCTAATTTCTCGAAGCCTTGTTTAAAAGGCTTCCCTTCCCCTCTCCCACCCTAGCTATTGTATCTACTGCATGCCACCAATGACTGCCTTTCTAAAAAAAAATATAAATCAATTTTTATAAAGTCTTGATTCCATAGGACTGAATGCCCTTCATTGATGCCATTACCAGCCCTAACAGCCTGGGACACGTTAGCAATTAAAAGGGCTGGGTTTTCAGAGGATGTGAGTCAAGTATTTCCTGAAAATCAGGTCCCTTTGCAAGGTGTGGCGTCCCACCATCAGCTCCCATTAGATAGTGATTGTGTGAGGAATCTTGGTTGAAAACCTTTAAGCGTTTTTAAGCAGATGGGAGCTGCTCAAATGCAATAGAGCAGGAACTGACCCACAGTAGCCAAAGAGGGAAAATAGGCTGATTTTGCACCAAAGATCTTGAGTGGTTTTTGCACTGAGATTGCCTTACATGCTTAATTGTACCCTTTAAGGTGATGACTTCCATCAACTTAGATCAGTATAACCCTAATTTTGAATCAACAAAAGCAGACATCCGGCTGGTTCACAATCTGGGTTTACAATTTAGTGTTTTAAACACACCTCTGATATGGGGCTGGCTGTTGAGGCTAATTTCAGTGGTTAAACTTTTCAGGTTAGGTCCAGGAATCCAGTTCTTTCCCTCCACAAGATGAGAAATTCACAAGGGAGGGAAAAAAAATGGGGTTTTTTGTTGTTTGGGTTTTTTTTACCTATTCTAATGGAAAAATCTTTCATCTCAGTTTTGGAAGAAAAAAGAAAACTGTGCCTGTAGACTAGGTCACCCAGAGAGTTTTGTGGTTGAGGGACAGGAGGTCCTCCAACCAAGGGGGTGCAAAAGAGTGATGTAGCTGTGATATGCCAGGCAGGTTTCCTTCCCTGACATCTCCCCCCAGGTCCATAGTGGCATCCCTATGTCTTTTGGCTATCAAAAACTGAGGGAGGGAGCGGAGAAAATAATGAAATACTTATTTTTCCTCATTCTTCCCTTTGGGCTTTTGTCCCACCACAAATGATATTTGGTGAGAGTCTATGTTTTGCAATTTACCGCTTTGGCACCCAGATGAAGGGACTGGTTGGACTATTGATCTCCTGTTTTTTCTCTGAGACAGCAGACGTTGTGTTGTTTGGTTTTATGCCTTGGAGCTTCCCTGGTGACCTAGACTTGAAAGGGGTTTCTCCAAGTCTCTGTTCCTGCATTTGCAATGTAGGTACTGTGAGACCTTGAGTAGAGGTAGACAAGGTCCCCTCCCCAGGAAGCTCTGAGGTTCTGCGGTGGAGAAGCACCATGAGAGCTTTGCATAAAGGGCATCATCATCTCTTCAGCTGCTCCCAATTTAATTTGATTTGCACAGACCACTTGCTGCTCAAAAGGTGCATGATAACCCATCTCAGCAAAGCCCCAGCATCCTAGAAATACTGGAGGAGTTTGTTCTCTGGGTAAGTAATAACTTCTTGGTTAAAAGCTTTACAGTGTGCCTTGTCTGTTGTACATTCATTTTCTGTAAGCCTGACAGCTGCCCTCAATCTGAGACTACTTTGTCTCCTAGCTTGCTGTCTTGATAAAACAAATTGCAGGAAAAATCCATATACTCTTGGGACCATCCAGGGGAATGGATGTGCAAATGGTGTTCAGGTTAAAAGAAGGTCATGCTGTATCCAACCTGAAAATTCCTCATAAAAATACAATCAAGGAAAACCAACTCTGCCCACCTCCCCTCGTTTTCCAAAAATAGTACATGAACGTCTCAGGCCATGTTTTATCTGGGAGTTTTCCTCCTCAGCTTATGAACACAATGAGGATTGTGTCTCAGGTATGTTGAAGTTATTTTGCTACTGTTCGATGGGAAAAGCCAGGCACAAAAGGCCTTAAGTGATCTGGCTCATTTAAGTATAATTTATGAATCCTAATTCCCAGTTTACTAATCACAGTATCACACAATGGCCATGATTTCAGAAATTGCTTAAATATGTGCCTCTGCTCTACTAGATGTTAAACGTGCAGGAAAATAGACAGATGGGCCATTTTTGAAGGAGAAATGTATTCCTCAACCCAACCTCATTTCTTTAAAACCAAGCAAGCTTCTGTATTACTAGAATTTATCTCTCTCTTTGCATTTACCTGTTTTGAGGAGAGAAGTGTTTGGAGAAAGGAGGGAGAGCTGGAGTCTGAAAAACTCTGAAGTTTTAAAAACTCTCTGCTCAAAGTCTTCCTGCAAGACAGGGGGCTGCAGAAGCTGCCACTGGGGGTCCTCTGGCCAGTGTGTCTCAATGAAGTGCTCGGGGTCAGTAAGGAAGAAAAAATCATCATGCCTGAAAGGTGAAAGGAGAAGATACCATGGAAGGAGCAAGAAAACCCTTAGCATCCTGAGTGGTTATGATGCACAGCTTGTAAGGGAAGGGAGCTTCCTGCACACCATCTGAGCCTCACCAACTTCAGTAAGGGACAATCTAGCTCTCATTTGGCATTTTGTTTTTTGCTGTCCTTATTTTCTTTTCATTTTTCCCATAAAGATGCCCAGAGTTGAAACTGCAGTTCCCAGCCCTGTAACAGACTTCTTCCAGCAACCAGATAAGATGATCCAACAAGTTGCAGAGGAGACAATTTTTCTGAATGATTCCTCTGCTAAGGCCTGTAACTTGTGGGTATATTTCAATATGATGTCTGATCTTCCAAGAATTTACATATGATTTAAGAAACAAAACGCATCTTGGTTCCAATCTGAATGTTCCTAACCTGACTTTCCAAATATCATCATTGCTTAGGTGTGTGCCGAGTGAGACACCTTCCAGATGTGTGCTCAGCCTTGTGTTGAGGTCATTCTGTGAAGCCCTGTTGCATCTGTTGACCTGAAGGTTTTGAGGACACTGTGTTTGGACCCACAAGAAGCTGTTATCTCTGCCTGTTGCTGTAAGTGATGCTTTATTTTCCTTTTCCTCTTTTCCCCATGCTCAGCTAAAAACAACACACGCTCACTGGCGTTTTAAACCGTTCTCAGCAAGATAATTATCTATTAGAAATTCCACAATTATTTCATTATGCATTATTAGAGAAAAAAAAATTAAGAATGCAATCCCATAATACAGTTAATGGAAATTATTAAATTGTACAAATAACTTTCATGAGAGTCATTATTTGCTTAGCATGGGCTGAGAAATCTCAAGTAATTACATATGGAACCACATAAAAGCCAAGTTGCTGTGTAAAAGAGGATTTGTTACTTCATAAGTGATACTCGCTGCAGATTAAAAACAATTTTGGAGTGTGAAGTTGTCATCTGAAAAGTTACTACCCAAGTTCAAGCAATAAAGCCCTTAACATAGATGTTTTCATGCAGAGTGTCCATGTTTGCATGAGGTCCCTGAGCACCCACCATAGCTGTGGATGAGGAGAATAGCTCTCTGGACCTTCTGCAAGTAGCCTCTGTGGGTATACGTGAAAAAAGAGGGTCAAGGTCTGGTGAAACAAGACTGTAAGTGGTCCATTGAAAGGGCTGAGATGGCCATTCTGGGGTATCTCTGAAGTCAAATTGACCCTTTCCATTTGTGTTAGGGACCATGTCTCCAGCGACAACAGGAGAAGGGGTGTCTCACCTGGGTACAAAAAACCTGCTCTCTGCATCCACAGTCCCTGCACCCCAACAAGCATCCAGGAGCCACCACTGTCCTTCCAGCTCCACCGCATTCCACATGTGGCTGCTCTTCTGCTGCTGGCACCACCGTCCTCCACGGGATCCCAGGCTTCGGCCAAACCCAGGGACCTCCACGCAACTCAAACCCGCCTCCCTGTCCAGGAAGAGTCATCAGGGAAAACAACTGCAGACCAAACACTACTTTGTGTTTGCTTTCTTGGAAAGCAACCCAACCTGCATGGTAAAAGTACAACCTCCTTCTTAAAGCCAGGGCCCCACTCATGTAAGCTGTTGGCCAAATTCAGCTTTTATCTGGCCCCCTGCTTTCCCCACAGCTACTGCCAACCCTCATCCCTCCTATCTCTGGTCTGGTTAATCTGCCAAAGCCATATATTCTCCTCCATCTGAGTAGAGGAGGAAGGAGCCAGGGTCATGGTGGGTAAATTATGCTGGTTGTACGGCAAGCCCCATGCCAGATGTGTATTCCCACCTCATATCTTTGAGGGAATACGAGAAGAAAGCCCAAACTGAATTTTACCTGCACATTTCCCGGCATAAATGGGCATAACCAGAACACACAGCTCTTCCCGTTTGCAGGACCTGCTCTGGCATGTGGATCTTCTGAGACAGCCCCAAGAAGCCGTCCACATCATATTCTAGGAAAGGGAGAATACCATGTGATTTCAGGCCAACGTAAGGGTTTATTATTTCCAAAACTATCCCATTCCTTCTCCTGCCCAACTCTATTTCTCTGCCTACCCACCCTGGAAGCCATGACAGCTCTTCTATCCATCGTTATTCAAGATTTTGACAATTCCCCATATGAGGAAAGAACTGCCAAAGCCTTGGGGGCGCTGGGTTCCCAGTGCATGTAAACAGCCATTGCACCATTCAAGTGAGGTACAGTGACAGTCACATTGTCTCGCACACATGGATGTAGTAGGGTAAAGAAGCACGAAGCGGCTGCATTGTGCTGAGATTCCTGTGTCCCCAGATGACTGCTGCCAGGCGTAGCTCAGCCTCACTGAATTTGCATTATTGGGGAAACAACCTCCAATGCACTGAAGCTGAGTGCACCAGAGGCAGGTGGGCCTTACCGGTGCCTCTGGGGGTCTGGCACCTGAGTGCCAGTGAATCAGGTGTCGTTTGCAGAATGGAGGGTCCTGTGGTGGAACCAGTTCCTACTCCAGTTACTTTACTGAATTCGAGAGGAGGACATTTGAGTTCATGACTCAACAGGAGTACTGTGGAGTCTCTGTCCTGCAGGGCACAAAGAACCTAAATCCAGGAGGTAGCGTATGAAGAAAGGGCTTCTCACATCTCTGCAAAACAGTGGTACCAGACTTACCGATGTTGTGGCAGAGCCAGAACCATATTGCCCGCACCATCTCCAGTTTGCTCTGGGATTTGGCAGTGATCAGGGGAACGATGGCCTGGACAGAGAAACTGGCGTGGCCAGACTTCAGCTGCAATGGAGAGGACCGGTGAGTTAAAGGGGATGTGGGTGTCACCACTGCGTGGGTGGGTGACTGCTCAACTTGGTGGGCTTGCTGGAAAGAAAACGTACACTGCAAAAAACCCTGAAGCTGCATTTTTCCTCTCCCAGAACTTAAAATGCAAAAATACTGTTTGTGGTAAAACAGGGTGTTTTCCCCATTTTCCTAGACATGGTTTTATAGAAGCCTGGGGCCTGGAGTTGTAAGCTGGAGAAAATGAAGGTGGCATTTCCCATTCCTTTGGAGCAGCTGATTGAGAAGTACAGTGTCATTGCTCTGCTGCATTCTCTGTCCAGTTCAAAGTGTCCTCTGGCCCAGCAGGTCTTGTCCTAGAGGTGAGTCCCTCCAGTGGTGCTACTCTGCAACACATAACTGAGGACAGTGGGTTTCCAGCCCTGCACTGATTAACATCTTTGTGTCTTTAAGCAGAAGAGGAGCAGACTGGTGGCTCAGATGGTCTTCCTGTGCTCAAGAGCCCTCAGTCTAACCCATGCAGCAAAATAAGTAGAAAGAAGATTTTTTGCCCCTACCACTAAAATTTCACTACCTTTTTAATTCATCCCTGACCCCAAAGAAAGCCTTTCTGCCCCTTTCCTCCCATTCACACATTCACATTTCTGGGCTCTTCCCTCCTTTGTGATAGCACAGGCATTTTTAACAGCAGGCTTTTCTTTCATTGAGTTAAAATTAGTCCAGCTCATTTCTTCAAACCCCTGCCCCTGCTATTTCATTCCTCAATGACTTTCCTGCCCCAGCCATCTGTAAGATAATTTTGCATAGATGGAAATTTCTTTCTTTTCGCTTGTGGGAAATATTGCATTTGTAATGGCCAAGGATTTTCCTTGGGTTGAGGGTTTAAAAATGACAATGCAGCCAGGAGAGCACCTATTTCAAAATGATGGTGCTCCTGCTGGTCCCTTGCGTTTCTGTCAGGAGGTTGTGATGAGTGCTCAGCTTCTAGGCAAACAAATAATGTGAATTATTCCCAACGAAGAAAAAATAATGTTCAGCTATTAAATATCTAGCTACCTGCTTCCCTGTTGGCACATCTTGGTGCAAAATCAGACCGAGTCCATGCTATTCTTTGTTTCAGTCAGAGATGGTAAAAAGTAGGTCCTAGACCCAGAGTTGCAATGTTCCCAAGTTATCCTGTTCCTGGCTATGCCTGAAGACCCCGAAGAAATGAGTCAGAGCATCGTGTGTTGCAGTAGCTGCTGGCTCCACCAGAATACTTGGAGTCGACAGATGGAACCCTTTTCTCAAAAAACACCCAGGCAATGATCATGCCGAGACTTTTTCACATGGTTAAGGTGGATGCATGCAAACAGTCTGCAGGCTGCTCCTAAGTGGCCAGGAAATGAGTTCAGCTTTGCACCTACGCTGCCTGGGGCTCTCTCATCAACCATCGTCTCCCTGGGGACTGGCATCAGGGCTTGGTGCATGGGAGAGGGGACAATCCTCTGTTGCCACCACAGCATTGGCTGAGCAGCAATCATCACCAGAGGTGCAATACCCTCCTCAGAGGCAGTCAGTAAACTGCTCTACTGCTGCTCTTGGCACTAATAATTCACAGCTAAGAGTAAGAGACAAAATGCACCGGGTTTTAGTGCAGCTAAGGCTTTGAATCAACAGGGAAACAAGCTGTTCCCATGACTCCCCACTACCTTGGAGGTATTTTTGGTTGTTTATTACTCTCCTTTTCCTATCTTCCCACTCCCTCCCCCTCTCTTCTCCTTTTAATAGACTAGGTGGACTCTGAAATCCTCAAGCATCCTTCTTCCCAAGGGAGATTAGCCTTGGGCTAGGTACAAATTACAGGTTTCAACAATAATGGAGAGCACAATTATTCCTTGTGCCTCTTCACTCTTGCTAATGAGTTGACGTGTAAACTGCAAGTGCTGCATTGGTTCAGTGTTCATTGCTTAGACAAATTGTGCTGACCCTCGGGGAGAAATTACACCGGCAGCACATGGTTCAGGTAATAGGAAGGAATTACAAAATTCAGTGTTCCTTTCTGGGCTCCCGAGCATCTAGAAACTAGATATAACAAACATCACTGGAGAGGACATAACTGATGCCTCCTGCTTGAGTAAAAGCAAGACTTGTGCTGCCACAGATATGAAGGGGCTGTTGGACGTGGCCAGACTATGTGGTTATTGCTTGCTCTGTGTGCTTGTTATGCAGAGCGCACGCTGGCTAATCATCTCCCAGTCTGTGCTGTCCTGGGAAACACTGGGGGCCGAGTCCCTTCCTCTCCCCCTTGCATCCTTCTGAGAAGGGTTTCCAGGATCCCTCTACCCCACTGCACTCCTGTTTGAGACCCTGAAAAAAATCCTGTCCTGTGATGAAACCTAGCCTTTATTCCCAGTTTTGCATGACGAGCTGCAGCAAGCACTGCATATTGCAGCTACACACTGGTACTGGCTGGAAACAGGCAGCAGTGGGCTCTGGCTGGGCAGCAGATCTTCAGAGGTAGCATAGAGATCTTTGGCCATGGTTAGGACAAATTCACAGCCCAGGACCTTGTAAGATCTCTTAGTTTTGCTGTAAGGCACCACCTTGTCACTGCTGTCATTAGAGCATATAATGAAAAGTTGAACGTTAGGATGTGGATCTGCTGATGGCACCATCTGCTGATGGCACCATCTGTGTTTCTACTGAAGGACACCAGAACCTACCTGCTGGCTCACTTGTAGGACATGGGTGTCTACGTGGCTGAAAACCTTTGAGTCAGAGAAGAGGTCTCTCCTGGTCTTTCTCCGGGGATTTTTAGCCAGCTGCTTTTCTTCCAAGCTGCTGAGCCCTTCCTTGGGAAGGAGGGCTGGAGAGCAGCTTCCCGCAGTCACAGACAACTTCTGCAGTGGCTTTTTGAAGGTATTCTTTGTGTTGCTGTTGTTAACTTTGTTTTCCCAAAATGTGAAAAGCCCCCTGGAGGGAGAATCCTTGGGCTTATCTCTTACTTCTTCTGTAGTTGAGACTTTCTTTAACACCCTCTCCTTGTTCCTGTTCACACTGGTCATTTGGTGGGGAAGTTTCTCTGAGGTCTTGCAGCCAACTTCTTCAGAAATATGTCCCAGGGAAAAGTTGCCATTGCAGACATCTGACATGTGAGCTTCTCTCCAGCCAGGCAAGGTGTTTTCTGCCCGGGATGGCATCACATTTTCTCCATGGTTCCTGGGAAGGGCCTGTCTCAAGGTGCTTTGGGTGGTTTGTTTTTCATGGTGGCTGCCATTCGTGGAGTGGAGGGAGGGAATTGGCTCATTTGATTTGATAGCCTGGGGTTTGGATGACTTGCCTCTGTCATAGCTGGTCTTCATCTGTGCAGTGGATAAGGGGAAAAGAAACCACAGAGGTCTGCCAATGGAAAGACAGATGATTTTTTTTCAAAAGAAGAATGCACTCTGCACTGATTACTTCAAAACCTGTCTGTCTCTATTGTTAATTACAGCAAATCAGGATTTGGTCAGCTGGATTTAGCCAAAAGTACTGATTTTTTTCCTACTTCCAGAAGTAAGGTGGGATAGTCATGCCACAGAGAAACTTTTGGCCTGTTTCCAGTTGCAAATAGTTTGTGGGTTTGGTGGGGGTTTTTTTGATAGTTGGAGATCCAGTGGTGGGTTATCAGCAGTTACATCTCCACACTGGAAGGGAATGAAAAAATCAGGGTTATTCCTTTTGCAAAGAAATGGAAAGGAAACATTTATGTGTGTTGGAAGGCTCTGTAAGTGTGTGCAGGGAATGGGTGGGTGCCTCAGTTTCCCTACATTAAACCAGGACTAATCCCATAGCATTTCTCTGCGCCTCCAGGTGATAAGAATCATGAAGAACAAAGAATTAATATAATTAGTATTTTGGTGCTCCAGAGGAGTACATCTGCCAGAAAATCCTCCCTTTAGGAGGACCCTTGCCTTCCACCCCATCTTTCTGTTTTGTGCAGATTCATTTCTGCCATTCAAGTTCTGCAGAAAAATGTCATTCTTAGTATGCTTGCTTTACACTTGAAATATTGGTGTGTCAGGTGAGAAGGCTGCAGGAGAAAATACATGACAAAGTGAAAGGAAAGGTGCTATCCATGATTGATGAAGGTTTTATGGGTTAAAACTGTGGGTAAAGCCAGCTCTTGCATGCCCTCAACATCTGCACAGCGCTCGCTAGTTTTATCTTGGTTTAGCTTCTATTTGCTGTTGTTGTTTTTAATCATAAAATGACTATTTGTGCAATGCAAATAGCAGAGCCTGCTGTGAGCCACTTAGCGTAGCCCAGAAATGTCACTCTCTGTATTCATCCAGCTTCTCCCATGCAGACGCAGGCTGGGTTTTCAACAGCTACACTGGGGCATTGGCCTCGATCTCCCAGGAAAGCAGGATGTCACTCATGCCTCTCTCTGCTACCCTGATTTTTCCCTCCTTACTTGGGACTGAGGCTTACAGGAGTAGGACAGCCTTGTCCAGAAGAGATACGAGATTGTGACCGCTCCAGGCCTGCCAATACTTTTTTTTTCCTCATTAATAGATGCATGCAAACAGCACCAATGAGTTAATCTGGTGCTGGGCGCTCAAATAACCAGAGGATGCCCCAATGGGAGGATGTCCCCTAGATAGGTCATGAGTGCATGGGAGTTTTTAATCTGCAGGACAGCCGTACCAGAGCCCAAACCACCCTGCTGCCGTGGGGTTTTTACATGGCCTGCCTGGGCTGTACGTTCTCTATTTACTCCCAGACCACATCTAAGCCCAGAGAGATGAATTGTTCATGCCCAGCTGTTGACACGTTCAAGTTGTCCTTGTGCGTGTGAGCTGCGGTCGCTGCTGGGCTGCTCTCCCGTCCCCAGGCGCCGACACTCGCTGTCACAGGCAGAGAGGGGTTTTGCCAGCCACTTTCTAAGTGAGCAGCAAGAGGCCACTTCTGAATCCTTTACGGTCATTACCTGACATGAACCGGGGCATGATAACTCAAAAACATAAATCCTAGCAGATGCCATGAACCCCAGCCTTTCTCCTCTTGCTTCCATAGGGCTTGCTCTTGCAAAGCGTACCCTGCATCAGAGGGACTGGGGGACTGCAAGCCCAATTTTTTCCACTGATGTGCATTCTGAGCACGAGTGTCTCCTCTGTCTTCCCACATAGCATTTGGGAGGGGAATAGCTTGGGACTGGGGTGGAAGATGCCCCCTCGACACTTAGCCACAGCCTCAGAACTACTGGAAAAAAGAGGTTCTCTACAGATGACTGAAAATGTGAAAATCCTCCCATGTCCAGTTTTATTTTTAATCTGAGAACTTTTTGTTGGGTTTAAACCAAATGCTTTATTTCAATTCTGTCACTTCTGTGTTTATGACTTCAAAAGAATTTTAAGCAAAGGCACCACTTTGACATTAGCTCAAACAGCTTCATCTCCCCATGTCTTAAACACAGTGCTTCATACAGAACCTTTCTCTCAGAAATCCCTAAATCACTGCTTACCAGAGGTCAGAGAAGAAAATAACAAGGGATTGCCGTTTCCTTGTTTCCTTACTTTCCCTACAAATTTAATTAGTGACTGGAGAGGATGGGTCTTTGAAAGCACTGATTCCGATGCAACCTCCATTTGCACCCACAGGGTGACCAGCCCCTTCCCTGTGTCCCAAAGTACCTCAGAGTTGACAACATGTTAATCCATGAAACACCCACTCCGGAGAGGATGTTTCAGCCCAGAGGTGCCATTGCAGAGGGTTCAGGGAGAAGGGCTGGCTTCTGCTGTGGTTTGAACAGGAGAAGCACCCCACGCCATCCCAGGGATGGTTGTGCTAACAGCAGGCTCTTGACTGACGTTTGAGAAGGCATTTTGATCTGCCCTGACCATGCTCCAAGCAGATAAATGCAATTTTAAAGTACCCCAGGCAACATTATTGCTGGTAGCAGTGGGAATAGAGGAATTGCTTTGCCTCTACAAGCTGTAACAGTGGCAGCTGAAAGGTGTAACAGGTAAAATGGAAAACCTCCACAAGATGAGCAGAGAGAGACTATCCAATGCCTCTGCAGCATCCCTCCCACGGTAACGAGCATGGTAGGGGGTAGAGAGGGGAAGGGAAATGCCTTGGGGAGTGCTGAGTTGGCAAAAGAGCTCTTGGGGTGCAGATAGGTTGAAGCAAGGAAGGTGGAGGTGGTCAGGAAATAGGGGAGGACCATAAGGAGGCCACGCTGGACCCCAGCCACTCCACATGGGGATGCGGCACTTTGTCCTGCTCTGGTTCAGGCAAAGAAAAGGATGGAGCTGAGGGAATAAATGCAGAGGGGTGACAAAACCCTGGGAAATGACCTCCAGTGGGTCTGTGCGGTGGTGGGTGTCCCTGGAATGACCCAGAGCAGCGTGCACGGGGGCTGACAGTGGAGTCAGCAAAGCCTTTGAAAAAGGGGGATGTTCCAACTCACCCTGCTTGTGGCTGCAGCTCCCCGCTGTGTGCAGAAGGCAGGCAACTCCCCGCAGCCCCCCATCCCTTTTATACAGCTGCCAAATCAGGACTGTCTTCTTTTTTTGTGCCTTGCTAATGTCAGGGGGGCTAAAAATACTGTAAAGCGCCGGCGAACGTGCTAACATCGCTGCTGCCAACCAAAGGCTCTGCAGGCCTGGCACTTCTGCAGAGTGTATAGGGGCTAGGGTGAATTTACAGGAGAGATAGGGGAGTGATAAGGGGATTTCCCTTATCAGCGGCCAGGCTTTGACAGGGCAGCAGTGGCTGGCTCTCCCCAGCTGGCTCACCTCCATCCCCACTGTCTGGGGAGGGCAGCTGCCTGGGGGACGTAGTGCAGCCTGTCAGGCTGGGTGTTTCTGCAGGGTTGCTCCTGCCTTTTTTGTTTTGGTTTGGTTTGTTTGTTTTGTGTTGGGTTTTTTTTTCTGGGCACCTTTTCCTGCATTCTCATAGTGCTTTGAATTTCACCATTCTGGCTTTGGCCTGGTGGGGAGCTGGTAAGGAACGCCAAGAGCAGAGTTATGCAGCGAGCTGGTGGAGTTGTCCTCTCTGCCCCTCTGCTCATTAGCACTGCTTGGACAGCACTAGGTCTTAATGTCTTGTGAGATGAATCATAGAATGATAGAACGGTTAGAGCTGCAAGGGGCCTTAAAGATCATCTAGTTGCACCTCCACGGGACACCTCCGCTAGAGCAGGTTGCTCAAAGACCCATCCAGCCTGGTCTTCAACACCTCCAGGAATGGGATATCCACAACTTCCCTGGGCAACCTGTTCCAGTGCTTCACCACCCTCACAGTAAAGAATTTCTTCCTAATATCTAATCTAAATCTCCACTCTTCCAATTTAAAACCATTACCCCTTGTCCTGTCACTACACTTCCTGACAAAGAGTCCCTCTCCGGCTCTCCTGTAGGCATGGAACAATTCACAGGGAACACTTCACAACGCCTTTGTAATCATCTGCATCTGCCCTGAAATTATTGCACCCTTGATTTCCCCCTCTTCCGCAAAATTCCCTGTGCCATTGGGCTGCATCTGCAGGACTGGAAGGGGAATTTTTTATCCTGGCTTTGCACAGCACAGGCTGTTTTGCAGCCCTTTTCTTTAGCTTGGTACCCTGGGAAGTCCTCAGGGCGCACCAGGATTAAGAATACCTTCTCATAGATTGACCAAAAATGTGCAACACGGGTGTTGGAATATTGTTCTTTATTATTATCTAACTATGTTCCACTAAGTGGCATCATATCCCTTGTTTCTGTTCACTCATCTTAACTTTGTCTCTAAATATTGAAAATCTTTTTCATCAAACAGACAGGAAATAAGGGAGGAGAAATATTTGCCAACTGAATGGAAATGTATTTTTGGAAGAATTTTTCCAGTTTTTGGATGAAGAGGGGAAGGAAGAAAAGGAGAAAATGATTACTTTGGAAAAGAGGAGAAACATTTCATTTAAACTCCCCTCAGATCTTAGACCCCCAGACTGTCTCCCTTTCCCTGGGGTTAGGAAACCACAGCCTCCTGATGCTGCAGGTTCTCCCTGGCTCCCCTCTCAGTGCAGGGTTGGCTGTTTCAGATGAGCAGATACCTCACTTGGCTTCTGGAGAGCACAATGTGTCACTTGGTTCCCAGAAATAAGACCTTCTTAATTTGCATAAAATGGTTTCCTAATGAAGTTTTCCCAGTGAGTGGGGGAAGGTCCTGAGTCTTTGGGGTGTGGCCATTAATGGGTCTAGTTTGCAATTTAGGACCATTCACTGTTCTCTACCCAATCCAGAGACTTGTTGAAACACTGCAACAGGCTCTGTAAGGCTTCACACCCCACTGGCTAATGTAGTTTGGGAGCCAAGGTGTGAGCTCAAACCCCTAGGCAGACCTACGGACAGCAGTCTGGCCGTGGTGGAGCCCACCATCAATGGGACCCTGACTTTTTAGTTTGGGAAATCAGTGACATTTCACCTGGGTGCTGGCTATGTCCCTTCCACTGGCTACAGAAACAGATTTGGCTCATTCATGCTAACCATGAGAGACAACTAAGATGGAGTTCAAACTTTGCTCTCTGATAAGCAGCAAGTTGTCACTCTCCGTGCTGTGAGACACTTTCTCTAGATGATGTGTGAAGGCCAAACAAAAGCTTTTGCAATT